GGTTAGATTTGAACCCGCCACCTTAGATATATGTGGCTGGTGCCTTAGCCACTTGAGCCACAGGTGCCAAGCCCTAATTAGAATTTCTTAAGCAGCAGATAACATAGATAGTGACAACCACTATTCAATTCAAAAGGGGCTCTTAAAGATAAGTAAGTAGTACTGGGCCGGGCACAGTGGCTCACACGTGTAATCCCAGCACTCTGGGAGGCTGAGGCGGGACGACTGCTTGAGCTCAGGAGTTTGAGACCAGCCTGAGCAAGAGAAAGACCCTGTCTCTAAAAAATAGCCGGGCATTGTAGGGCCAGTAATCCCTGCTACTTGGAAGGCTGAGGCAACAGAATCACTTGAGCCCAAGATTTGAGGTTGCTGTGAGCTGTGACACCACAGCACTCTACCCCAGAGTGACTGAGCGAGACTGTGTCTCAAAAAAAAAAAAAAAAAAAGGTAAGTAGTACTTTACAATACTAAACCATCAAAAGGGTTACCATTTCTACAGCACAGTTATAGATGAGCTTCTCTGCTGTCACGCTGTTGATTTCATCAATAAACCTCTGTTTGTCAGAGAAGAAGCGGGTCAGCTTCTCTGTAAGTTTCTTGCACATGGCGATGCAGAATTTGTACCGTTCATTCAGAGTTCTGACAACTGGAAAGAAGTTGAGATGGGAACTAAACTTGGTTTTCCTCCAGAAATAAAGACACTGTGATATGAACCTTTCCTGCTGATACAAGGAAGGTTAACTAAATGATCATTTAAAAAAAGGACTAGAAATAGGATTCTTTCATACATTCTCTCTTTTAGTATATAAAAAGATTAAGAATAAAGCACTTCTAAAAAAAAAAGAATTAAGCACTTCTGACTTCTCTGTGAATCAGTTAAATGATGAAAAACTAAAAAGCCAGCATTTTCTCCCTATTAAGAATACTGAGGCCAGGCATGGTGGCTCACACCTATAAACCCAACTACTTGGGAGGCTGAGGTATGAGGGTCCCTTGAAGCCAGGAGTTTGAGATCAGCGTGGGAACACAGTGAGACACTGTCTCTAAAATAAATAAATAAATAAATAAATATATATGTATATATACATATATAAAATAAATATACATATATGGAAGAATTAGCCAGCTACGGTAGTAGGTGCCTGGCTACTTGGGAGGCTGAGGCAGGAGGGTCACTTGAGCCCAAGAGTGTGAGGCTGCAGTGAGCTATAATACTGTCACTGCCCTGCAGTCCGGGGTCACAGAGTTAGACCTCTCTTTAAAAAAAAAAAAAAAGCATATTGAACAACCCAGTGATTCCTTATCAAAACCTGTTTCTCTTGGTGTGAGAGGGAAAGCACAACTCAGGACTCTGCAATCACTCACTGTCTTCTCCTTTCATACCTTGTTTCACAGCTGTGGATGGGCTCAGTTTCCCAGACTTGATCTGAGCTTTGGCAAGATGCAGAGAAGCCGCCAGCAGCTGTGCTGCCTTCATGTATAACACCAGCTGCTCCACCCTCCTGCCACAGAAGACAGGAGCACAGTGTTACCTTGTGAACCAGTAAGAGCTGGTGCTTCACACCTCAGGTCACCATTAAAATAGCCTTTCTACAGGGACCACATCCTCCTTGATTTCTTAACGCACAAAACTCAAAGAATGGAGAAACGTGGGTGTATTTTGAAAACAAAAGATACACATGGGTAAAAATCAATACAATCTCTTTATCATCAAATATCTTCAATGGTGTAATTTACAGAGAAAAGGTAATACTAAGATTGCATAACCTCAAAGTCTCAGCTCAGACAGTGAAATCTAATACAATGAAATAACTCATGAGACATGATCATCAATCAGTGGATGACGATTCCTACACCTCAGACAGTTTAGAGAAAGGATGAAGAATCCGGAAACGAACACAAGGGGGGAACCTACCCCCAGTCTTTGCTCAGCTGACTGATCTGGTCTACAACCACACTCTCTTGAATCTGGTACAGAGACACTGCCGACGTGTACAGCTCAGGGTCTCCTCCCCGGACGGCGGTCAGGTCCAGCACGCAGTCGGTGAACATGAGCATTGCGTTCAGATGGCGCAGGGTGTCTGTGTGTTCACGCTGCAGCAAAGCCAACTTGTTTTAGAGAATCTCAGATTAAGAACAGGGACATACTCATTTCTGTATATAAACCATGGCCATGGCTAATGCTTTTCTATACTTATAAATATCAGAATGACCAAAAGAGATTTTTAAATTTCAGAAAGCTGGTAAGAAAACAAACACAATGGCTCGGCGCCTATAGCTCAACCGGCTAAGGCGCCAGCCACGTACACCTAAGGTGGCGGGTTTGAATCCCCAGCCCAGACCCGCCAAAACAACAATGACGGCTGCAACCAAAAAATAGCCGGGCGTTGTGGCGGGCGCCTGTGGTCCCAGCTACTTGGGAGGCGGAGGCAGGAGACTCGCTTGAGCCCAGGAGTTGGAGGTTGCTGTGAGCTGTAATGCCATAGCCCTCTACCCAGGGGGACAGCTTGAGGCTCTGTCTCAAAAAAAAAAAAAAAAAAAAAAGAAAACAAACACAAATTAAACAATGGCAGGTGTGCACATTTGTGTGTACATATCAGGGAAGGTCCAAATATAAGAGGTTACTGTTCTTTTATACCAGGAAAAAACATGAACAATTCGATCAATATATAGGAGATACAAATAAGATAATGATATTCTCTGTGCACTAAATCACACTTTTTTTTTTGAGACAAGAGTTTCACTTTGTCACCTTTGGTAGAGTGCCTTAATGTCATAGCTCATGGCAACCTCAAACTCAGGCTCAAGCGATTCTCTTGCCTCACCTTCCCGGTGACTGGGACTACCGGAGCCCACCACAATGCCCAGCTATTTTTAGAGACAAGGTCTTGCTGTGTCTTGAGCTGGTATCAAACCTGTGAGCCCAGGCAATCCACTCACCTCGGCCTCCCCGAGTGCTAGGATTACAGGTGTGAGCCACCCTGCCTGGCCAGAAGTTACATTTTTAGAACAAAGATTATGTTTAAATATCCCACAACCTATCCACGTGCCACTTCCTACGAACCACAGTTTGTTGCGTGTCATTGTCAACATTATTATGAATATATAGCAGCAGTGTTTTCACATAGAAAAGAAAAAGGAGTTAAAGAGAAGAACATAACTGTGTATCTGTTCTTCTGCCATCACAGGAACATTCTCATATCACATCAACATTACAGTCTCCACTCTACCTCCATCAGTGTCTCCTCCGGCAGTTCAGGGGCTTCAAAGGTGATGAGCCCCTCTAGGCTGGGGGGTGAAGCACCGTAAGGCACGAATCTCAGGCTGGGAGCTGCCTCTGCTCCGGGAGGGGAAGAGCTCACGCCCAGCCCAGGTGGGGAACCCACACACACACGGCCACTCGCAGAGCACAGAGAGCCTCCAGAGCTGCTGGACCCCACTGCAAGGAAGCACAGGAAATGAGGCAGTGCCGAGTTAGGGCTCTCTCACCCACTCCTGCTCTCACGTGCTGAATAAAACTTACTACAGTAACACGTAAAATAAAGTCACCGATCCTTTACCTGCATTTAAGGACATAATTAATTTTTATTTTTCCATGTTCATTTCTATTTATTATCTATATGTATATTTTATGTCAGACATCATCACAGCTACATTTTTATATTCTGTTTTAAACAAATTTATATCATATCCATTATTCCTTTTTGCTCCATGGCCCTCACAATTTTTTTTGTTTGTTTTTGGAGACAATCTCACTCTTGTTGCCCTGGGTGGAGTGCCCTGGTGTCATAGCTGATAGGAACTTCAAACTCTCAGGCTTGAGAAATCCTCTTGCGTCTGCCTCTCAAGTAGCTGGGACGACAAGCACCCACCACAACACTCAGCTCATTTTTCTATGTTTAGTGGAGCCAAGGTCTCGCTCTTGCTCAGGCAATCCACCCACCTTAGCCTCCCAGAGTGCTGGGGCTAAAGGCGTGAGCCAATCACCAGGGCCAGGCCTCACGATTGTAACATTCTATGGCTCACTGGATTCACACACACAGTGTCTCTCTGGAGTCACTGACACTGCTGCTGCTTTTTATTCACATTACAAACAACACAGTAACAAAATGCAAACAGTTTTTCTTTCCAGTGATTTCTTTGTCATGAATACTCCAAAGTGGCATTATACAGGAATAGAATTACCACAGACCAAGTATTAAACATTTTTTACAGTTCTTCCTAAGAATTACCACATAGTACTTTCCAACACAGCCGTGAGTAAGCACACAGATCCTATTAAAAACCTCAGCAGTGTTGGGCATCATACTTTAAAAACCTTGGTGTAGTTAGATATAAACTACTACTTCCTTAAAATGGCATTTTCTTATTAAGATTATTAATTATCTTAAAAATAAGATTTTAGCTCTACTGTCTCCACAGACCTGGCTCCATGGGGGGAGGCAGCGGGTGATGTACAAACATGAAACCCCGTCTGCTCGGCAGACGTCCTTCTCCACGTGGATGACTGATCCAGCATTATGACTTCCTGTTTTGTTTGTTTATTTTTATTGTTTTGAGACAGAGTCTCACTATGTCGCCCTAAGTAGAGTGCTGTGCTGTCACAGCTCATAGCAACCTCAAACTGTTGGGCTTAAGTTATTCTCTTGCCTCAGCCTCTGAAGTAGCTGGAACTATAGGTGCTCGACACAATGCCCAGCTATTTTTTTGTTGCAGTTGTTTAGCTGGCCTGGACCAGGTTCAAACTTGCCAGCCTCAGTGTATGTGGCTGGAGCCCTAACTGCTGAGCTGTGGGCTCTGAGCCAGCTTATGGTTTTGTTTTGTTTTTTAATTTTTTTTAAATTTAGTGTATTATTTTTATCTCACAAAGAAAAGCAAGCTTTGAGTATAAAAAGTTATAGTTTTAGGAAGATTACGCTTTCCTTATCTTTGTTATCCTATGCTTATTAACTTGCTGCTACCTTCAATGGTAACTTTTTTTTTTTTTAGAGACTGAGTCTCACTTTGTCGCCCTCAGTAGAGTGCCATGGCATCACAGCTCACAGCAACCTCCAGCTCTTGGGCTTAGGTGATTCTCTTGCCTCAGCCTCCCAAGTAGCTGGGACTACAGGCACCTGCCACAATGCACAGCTATTTTTTGTTGCTGTTTGGCCGGGGCTGGGTTTGAATCCACAACCCTCGGTATATGGGGCCGGCGCCTTACTCACTGAGCCATAGGTGCCACCCCCTTCAACGGTAACTTTAGCGCAGGAGAACTTCAAGGACACCAGACGCACTGTGTAAGACAATGTCATCTGACTGATTTCAAGTCCATTCTAAATACTTTTTAAATTTTTGTTAATAATGTATTTATGGAGCGTAAATGATAAAATAAATCTATTAGCCTGTGTAAATGCAAACACTGGGTTTCAAAGTACAAAAGTAAAATAAACGAATCTTAACTTTCTAAAAAATATAAACAACTTATCATTTTCAAGTAGTTTACTGGATCTATAGGCAGTTCTTGAGTTACAAACATCAGATTTATGTACAACTCACTTAATGAACAGGGGCTATTACAGGCTATAGGAAAATGGACCTGTTTCAACTTACATACAAATTCAACTTGAGAATAAACCTACATAACCTATCTGGTTTGTAACCTGGGAACTGCCTGTACTAAAGTAAGCCTTTGGATATGAAACCTGAGAAGTACCATGTGTGAGCTAATTTTTCACAGAGCAGCACATACATATTTTATCCTGATATATATTATATACAATGTGTATCTGTAACATTTTAATACAGCACTTTCACTTAGTGGAGGGACCTGTCTGAGTTACCGCAGTGGCTCTTTACCAGAACACTACACTCCAAATTCCAGCCAAAGACTGGTATATGGCCCATGTTCCTCACCTGAGGTTGTTCTTGTCCGAAGGACCATGTGGGTACAAGTGGGGGCCGTGGCACTGTGTGGAGGGGACCCTACAGTGAAGAGGACAGCCCTAGAACTTGCCGCTGTCCCTGTAGGAGGCGCCAGCACACCACCACAGGCTCCTGCAGGAGCTACAACAGAAGGTTCATAACATGTTACATGACCTTGACAGTGTCCATGTCCAGGGCTGGGATGGAGGGATTACAGGGAGATTTTTGTCTTCTATGTTTTTTCTTTCTTTTTTTTTTTTTTTTAACAAAAAGCATTTATTACTCTTAAAATCAGAAAATGCAATACCATATTTCCTTTAAAAATAATTGTCAGATGTGAATCACCTTCACACCAAAGTCTTGTGTTCAGGGTTCCTTTTGTACACTTCTAAGATATATGAACTTTAAGTCACACCTGTTGAGTATAATTTGAAAAAGTGAAAACTGAGAACAGGGCATAGAATCAGAAGGTTAAGTGAAAGGTGATCAGCAGCCTCCACAGCAACACAGCTTTAGAAAAACATAGAAAGTTTAGACAAAGTACACACAGTGCCTTAGAACCACACCCTTACATCTGTCATTAGGCAGGAAGGGAGGTGGAGATGTCAAGGGGCTGAAGGCTGAGCGTGGGCCAAAGGAAGAGGAGGTGAGAAATCCCCCATCTCCTGAACCATGGAGAATCAGTAAAAGCTGTCTAAAGCTTTTTCATATTCAAACATCTAAAAGCCATCTTATGGCTTCTGAGACTGTAAGAGGGAAGCTGGAAGTAACAACACAAATTATAAATTTATTTATTTATTTAAGATGGAATCGCACCTTGTCACCCTTGGTAGTGTACCGTGGCGTCACAGCTCTTGGGCTTAACTGATTCTCTTGCCTCAGCTTCCCAAGTATCTGGAACTACAGGCGTCTACCACAACACCTGGCTATTTTTAGAGATGGGGTCTTGCTCTAGCTCAGGCTGGTATCGAACTCATGAGCTCAGGAGATCTGCCTGTCTTGGCCTCCCAAGAGTGCTAGAATTATAAGTATGAGCCACCATGCCAGGCCTCAAATCATAAATTTGAAGAAAGAGACACTGAACCAAATACAGACAAACACTGTCCCAGGGTTCATCTCATCTTCAGAGAGCACAATAGACTTACTTAATACAAGAAGAGAGAGCTCACAAAGTTCTTCTAGGGAGCAAGGGAATAGTAATTAGAAATGAATTAGAGTACTTACTGCTACACAAGGTGTATAAAATGACACAGCTATTCTCTTTATGTAATCTTATAGACCTTCAAGATTCTATTTTAGCAGGTATGCAAGTATTTAAGGATGTTTGTGGGTACATTTTAAGATCTAAAGACCCTAAATTTTTTTCCCTTAAGATCTTAAGTTTTTCCTATTGTCAACAGTTTTTATTTTCAAAAATTGAAACTTCATGAATAGAAAGATAAATTGGTAATTTAATAGTTCATGTGGAAGGCAGAAAAGAAATTATAAAAAAAAAACTTTTAAAAATTAGGCTGAGGTAGGTGGAACAATCTCCTAGAACTATAATCTTAGGACTTTAGGAGGCTGAGATAGGAGGATAGCTTGATGCCATGAGTTCAAGACCAGCCTGAGAAAGAGGAAGGGAGGGAAGGAGGAAGGGCTAAGCATGGTGTACACAGCTGTAGTCCCAGCTACTCAGGAGACCAAGGCAGGACAATCAACTGAACCCAGAATTTAAAGCTGCAATGAGCTCTGATCGTGCCACTGCCCTCTAGTCCAGTGACACAGCAAGAAAATGAATCAAACAGAAAACATGAAAAATCTCTGGAAGTTGTGTCCTGAGGACATACAAGAGATGATGAAATATATATTCAAGAAAATCCACATTAGCTCAGTAAGAACTGTCTCTACTCACAGGGTGGAAGTTCTAAGCCAGCTCAGCAGAGCAGGAAATCTGGGCCCCTGGTTGTGTCCCCCTAATAGAGGTGCCACACCAGTAGAGGCCAGCAGAGGACACCAGAGGCTCCCACCGTCCCTCAGTACCCAGCTCACAAAGCTAGGGTGCCAATGCAAGAGAAACAGACCCCTGTCTTTACCCCCAGCTCCACAGCAGAGGGAGCAGAGGCTTTCCCCAGTGGTTAGGGAGGCAAAGAAGAGAAAATTCTGAAGCTTTCCCCCAAGAAGATGAATTTTTATTTGAAACAGATCATGGGGAAGTTCAAGCATAAGGGCTCTTTCAAAAACAATGAAGATTTTAATTAGCTGGGCCATGTGGAGGGCGCCTGTAGTCCTAGCTACTTGGGAGGCTGAGGCATGAGGATCACCTGAGCCCAAGAGTTTGAGGTTGCTATGAACTGTGACCCCATGGCACTCTATGGAGGGCAACAAAGTGAGACGTTGTCTCAAAAAAAAAGATTGCGGTGTAAGCAAATAAGAGGCTGGGATGGGAGCTCCATGAAAGCAGCAAGCTAAACAACAGACCATGTACAAGTTTATCAGAGAGAGCTAGGGAAAGAGACAGCTCAGAGGGACCCTTTGCCCTTAAAGGCCACTCCTCCAAAATGACTAATTCATAGTTGAACGACTAATACAGACTAATTCATATTCTGAATTAGATCAGACTATGGAACAATTTATGTCCAGGGCAGTGTCAAAAACAATAGAGCAATCAACCGGCAATTAACAGAGGTGAATAACTCCAGTGAGCGATACCAAGGGAGGTAGGGAGCTCCAGAGACCAGAGTCATAGACAGTCCTGCTAAGACCACTGCCACTCTCAGGATGACTCTTTCTGCTCCAGACTGGGCTCTTGGAGGAAACACAACAGGCCCCACTCAGGGAGGCAGGAGACTTTACTGCAAGCAGGTAGACGCCATTGAAACAGCCCACCAATAGTAAACCAACAATAAAGCGGAAAAACAAGCTCAAAGTAGAGAACAAGACCAGCACCTAGAACTGCTATAAAATGTTCTCTAAAATGTCCAATTTTCAACAAAAAATCACGATATATCAAAACAAACCATGAAGTATAATCGTACATAGAAAGGAAAGCAGGCAACAGAGACTTCTCTTCAGAGTAATCAAATGTCCAACCTGGTAAAGGCTTCAAAGCAACTACTGGGAATGTTTGAAAAGCTAAACGAAATCTTGCTTCTAAAATAAAGGAGGCTGGAATGGTGACTCAGGCCTGTCGTCTTAGTACTGAGAGGCCAAGGTGGGAGGATGGCTTGAGTTCAGGAATTCAAGACCAGCCTGAGTAAGAACAAGACTCTGTTTCTATTAAAAAAAAAAAAAAAAGAAGAAGAAGAAAAATTATTTAGGCAATGTAGCATGTGCCTGTAGTCCCAGATACTTGGGAAGTATCCAAGGAGAGGAGAAAAAGGCACAGAAAAAATATCTAAATAGAAAATAGCTAAAAACTCTCCCAAATTGATAAAACATTAATCTTAATACCAAAAAAGTTCAAAAACCTCCAAGGAAGATAAAAGCAAAGAGATCAACATTCAGACACATCGTCAGACATGGTGAAAGCTGAAGACTATTTGAGAGCATCAGGAGAAAATGATTGGTCACACACAAAGGAAGCCAAGGAGGACTGACAGGGCTGCTGATTCATGATTAGAAAGAAGAGAGGACAGAGAGCCAGGGGAGGGCAGATTTAGAGTACTCAAAGGATAAACTATCAAGCAAAAACTCTTTCAAAAATGAAGCCAAAATAAAAACATTCCCAAATAAACAAAAGCTGAAACAATTTGCTGCCAGCAGGCCTGACTTGCAAGAAACACCAAGGGAAGCTCTTCAGGCCATAAGCAACTGACCCCAGATGGTAATCCCAGCCTGAGTGAAAGCGCACAGGCCAAGGTGATTATGTGATTACAAAACAGTGTAACTGCAGTTTCTTTTCCTTTTTTCTCTTAGCTGATTTTGAAAGCAATGGTTTAAAACATGATATCTATAACTGCATTGTTGGCATATATCATGAAGAAATGGTAGAATATTTCATGATAACACAAAAGAGGCAGGTGGGGGCTAAGCTGGTAACTCAAGTCCACAAAAACAAATGAAGAGAACTAGAAATGGTAAATAAGGTGAATAGGATAAACCATACATGTGTACTTGTTCTTTCTTCCTTTCTCACTTCTTTAAAAGACAAAAATCATATAAAGTAACAACGTATCACTGGGCTTCTAAGATCAGTAGGAAAATAAGCTATGTAAAAAAGTAAAATTATCATTAAAGGGAACAAAAGGTGACACTAGAAAATATTCACTTAATGTAAAAAAAAAAAAAGCAGTGAGGGAGAAACAAAAAGATGTGAATGCATACAAAACAAAAGTAGAATGTTCCTGCCAATAACAACATGAATGAATGGAGTAAATAACCCAATCAAAAGGCAGAATTTGTCAGACTAAATACATAATCACATGCCTCCATAGAGGACACACCTTAGTGTCAAAGAGATAACTAGACTGAAAGTAGGATGAGAAATGATACATCATGCAAACAAGCAGCATAAGAAAGTGAGAGTGGCTATACAAATACTAGAAAAAATAGATTTTAAAACAAAAAAGTTACTAGAGATAAAAAGAACATTTTGTAATCATAAAAGGATCCATTCATCAGAAAGACTTATTTATAAATATATACGAACATAACAACAGAACCCTAAAATACATCAAGCAAAACTGACAGAAATGAAGACAGTTAGAGACAATTCAAAAATAATAGATGGAGGATTCAATTCACTGCTTTTAATAATAGATAGAACAGGCTCGGTGCCTGCAGTTCAGTGAGTTGGGCGCCAGCCACATACACTGCAGCTGGCAGGTTCAAGCCGGGCCTGGGCCTGCTGAACAACAAAGCCAACTTCAAAAAAAAAAAAAAAAAGCCAGGCATTGTGCTGGGTGCCTGTGGTCCCAGCTACTTGGGAGGCTGAGGCAAGAGAATCGCTAAACCTAAGAGTTGGAGGTTGCTGTGAGCCGTGACACCACAGCACTCTACTGAGTGTGACATAATGAGACTCTATCTCAAAAAAAAAAAAAATAATAGATAGAACAAGTCCACAGAATATTAGCAAAGAAACATTAACCAACTGGACGTACCAGACACCTACAGAACACTTCACCCAGCAGCCCTGGAATACATACTCAAGTTCACATGGAACATTCCTAGGATATACCTGTCAAGCTGTAAGACAACCCACAACACCTTGAAAGTGACTAAGATCATGTGTAGTATGTTCTCCAACCAAAATGGAGAAATACCGGAAATAATAACAAGGAAATTTGGTGAACTTACAAATATGTAGAAATGGAACAATACAATCCCAAATAACCAACTGTTCAAAGAAGAAATCACAAAGGAAATCAGGAAATAACTTAAGATAAATGAAAATGAATATACAGCATACCAAAATTACAGGATACAGCTAACGTAGTGCTAAGAAGGAAATTTATAGCTATGCCTTTATTAAAAAAGAAGAAAGATCTCAAATCAACAAACTAAACTTCTACCTTTTAACATGCTGGGATAAAAAGGGCAAATGAAATCTAAAGCAAGAGGAGGAAGAAGATTAAGTTTTAGAGCAGAAATACGTAATAGAAAATAGAGAAAATCAGGTTGCACCTGTGGTGCAGTGGGTAGGGTACTGAACCCCATATACCAATGGTGGCAGGTTCAAACCCAGCCCACGCCAAACTGCAGCAAAAAAACAGCCAGGCGTTCTGGCAGGTGCCTATAGTCCCAGCTACTCAGTAGGCTAAGGCAGGAGAATCACTTAAGCCCAAGAGCTGGAGGGTGCTGTGAGCTGTGATGCCACGGCACTCTACTGAGGGTGATAAAGTGAGGCTCTGTCTCTAAAAAAATAAATAAATAAAATTAAAAAAAAAAAAGAAAGAAAATAGAGAAAATCAACAAAGTCAAAAGTTGGTTCTTTGTAAAGATCAAAATTATAAGCTTTTAGCTAGACTAAAAAAAGACAGATGACTCAAATACTAAGATCAAGAAAGAAAGGGGACATTAGTACTGGCTTTAGAAAAATGAATAAGATTTTAAGGAAATACTTTGAACATTCATATGTTAACAGATTAGATAACTCAGATGACATGAACAAATTCTTGGAAAGAAACTGAGTTTAAAATTCTGAATAGATCTATAAACAAGAAGAGTGAAGTAATAATCAAACAGGTTCCCACATGGGCCAAGTACAGTGGCTCATGCCTGTAATCCTACCACTCTGGGAGGCTGAAGAGGATTGCTTGAGCTCACAAGTTTGAGACCAGCCTGAGCAAGAGCGAGACCCCGTATCTACTAGAAATAGAAAAAATAGGGCGGCACCTGTGGCTCAAGGAGTAGGGCGCCGGCCCCATATACCACAGCCCTGGTCAAACCCAGCCCTGGTGAAAATTGAAAAGAAAAAAAAAAAAAAGGAAAGCAAGAAATAGGAAAAATGGCTGGGTGGTGGTGGGTACCTATAGTCTCAGCTACTACTCAGGAGGTTGAGATAGGAGGATCACTTGAACCCAGGAGTTTGAGGTTGCTGTGAGGTAGGTTGACGCCATGGTACTCTCGCCTGGGCAAGAGAATAAGACTCTGTCTCAAAAAACAAAATAGGTTCTCACAAAGAAAAGCCCAGATGACTTGATGGGTAAATTCTGCCTAATATTTAGAGAACACCAACTCTTCACAAACTCTTCCAAAAAACCTGAAGAGGTATGAACACTTCCCAACTCACTCTACAAGGACAGTCTTAACCATGACACAAAATCAGACACATACCACAAGAAAACCATAGACTAATATTTTATTAATACTGATATAAACATCATCAGAAAATACTGGCAATATGAACCTAGTAACATAAAAGGGTTTATATACAATACCAAAGCAGAATTTATCCCTAAATTACAAGGCTGGCTAAACAAACTAAAATTAAGGTGGCGCCCGCTGCTCAGTGGTTACAGTGCCGGCCACATGCACCAAGGCTGGTGGGTTTAAACCCAGCCCAGGCCAGCTAAACAACAACTCTACCAAGGGTGACAAAGTGAGACTCTGTCTCTAAAAAAAAAAAGAACAAAGAGGTTACAATAATGATTCTCAAGTATGAGTATTACACATACTGATTCCTGAAATTCATCGACAATCTGATTAAACAGGTCTGGGACAGTCTGGGGTCTGCAGTTGGTCTTGTTTTAGGACATGCAGTAACCTAGATGCAGGTGTTTATGGACCTAACAGTCCTGAAACAACATGAAAGGTTGTGACCTACAGATCTTTTTTTCTCTTTGCAGTTTTTGGCCAGGGCTGGGTTTGAACCCGCCATCTCTGGCATATGGGGCCAGCGCCCTACTCCTCTGAGCCACAGGCACCGCCCCG